TATGATCCTCTTTAGCCTATCGTATAACGGGGCTAAATCACGAGATAAATTCTTGTAAAAGGGGGAAATATAATTTAAACTTCCCAAGAATCTCTGCAATTGCGTCCTATCTGTAATGACATCAGGAAACTTAGAAGCAAAATCAATTGATCTTTGAATAGGGGTAACCTTCCCCTGACAAATAAGATGTCCTAAAAATCTTACTTCAGTTTGAAATAGACTCATTTTTTGTTTATAAATCACCAAACCGTTTTGTATAACTATTTTCTTGAAAATGTCTAAATGTTTAATATGCATTTCAAGAGTCTTTGAATAAACCAAAATATCATCAATATAAACAATGATGAAGTCCAAATATAGGTTGAAAATATCATTCATAATTTTCTGAAATTTCGAATGAGCGTTTTTCAAACCAAATGGCATAACATTCCATTCGTATTGTCCAAACGGGACATTAAAAGCAGTTCTATAAGAGTGCTCTTTAAATATTTGAATTTGTCAATAACCTGATTTTAAATCAAATTTAGAAAATATATTGGCGTCATATAATCTTGACAATAAATCCTTTTTATTTGGAATGGGATACCTAATCCATTTTAAATGTTTATTTAACGGTTTATAATTTTGGGAACACCACATTCTTTTTCAGCTGCATTATTAACATAAAATGCAGTGCAAGACCAAGGAGATTTTGAGGGTCATATTAAACCTTTCTGTAATAAATTATCAATTTCCTTTTTGCAGAATTCTACCAGTTCGGCATTCAACTGACAAGGGCGAGATTTCGTTGGAATATTATCCTCACTAAAGTTATCTTCATATGGAAGAGTGACAATATGCTTTTTCCGAATCCAAAAAGCACTAGGATGATCAGCACAAATATCAATAGCTATCTATTCAGCTATTAATTTAATCTTTTATTGTACTTTGGTTGATCACAAAGTGTCAAATATATTCATTCTAAATCATTCAAGTTGTAAAGAATCCACATGCTTTTGTTTCATATTAATTAAAGCATTAATATCACGAGAAATAGGATCACTGATAAAAGTATAACTAATATCTTGATTTTTATATGTAGCAGAAAATCCTTTAGCAGTTATATTGGTGAAAGGATAGATTGCATTTATAAACGGGGTTCCAAGTATAATTGGAGAATATAACTGATTTTTCACCAAGAAAAAGAAATGTGGAATGCAAACTTTATTTTGGCAAATACGCGTATTAGGCAATTTATACTTTATATCTAAAGCATGCCCTGAAGCTGATCTTACCATATGAATTGTTTTTTCAAAATATTTCGTAGGCACAAGACCTTCTTGAATACAACTAACATCAGCTCCACTATCTATCATAGCAATATCAGTTATAGAAAAAGTATTATCAATTAATATGGTACATTTAATATACCATTTATGAGTTGTAACAACCTGGATCATTCCTAAAGACATATTTTGTCTAGGATCAATATAAATAGGTTTTGTAAGAGTATTTTCTTCAACAATATTTTTACCTTTGTTATTAGCAGACTCAATCTGAGTAAGGCGGTGATCACAAATAATTTGATTTTGCTTAAGAGATTTAATCTCTTGCTTCAACTGTTCAATATCTTCTTTTAAATCATCAAAAGAAGTATCACGTATAACAACATGATGTTTAGAAAGTCTATTATTGACTTCAGATAAAGAATAAGGAGCAGATTATTCAAACTTATTTTTCGATTTTTCAACAACATTAGAAGAACTAGCCTTATTATTGGCAGCAAGCTGAATAATCTTTTCACGTAACGTATTATCAGTAACTTCTTTTAAAAGTTCTATCACATTATCAGAAGTAATAGTATTAATATTCAAATCTTTGAATTGTGATTGTAATTTATAAAATTCATCATTTTCACAAGAGCAAATATCACCTCTACACCTGCAAGTTTTAGTATCAACCTGCTGATTATTGTCAGAGAATTCTGGAAAATTAATCTCCTCTTCAGAACCTGAATCGGAATCATAGTCGGACTCAGAACCAGAAGTGTATAAGAAACTATATATTTTATCACGAACCTCTTCATCTAATTCCAAGGTTTTTAGCTTTTCAACTTTGCAGTTGGGGGCTATATGACCAAACTATTCACACTTGTAACACCTAATTTTTGCGAGTTCTCTCCTCGATCTATTCTTAGTAAATCTATGAGATTTACGATGACCTCTCCGCTCTTCACGTTCTTCTCTAGACCTACGTCTAGACTTTCTTCTCCTATGAGGTTTATCAGGAGTGGAACCACTAGAATCTCTATGTTTGGTACTTTTGCTTGAATCTGATAAACCAAATTGGGTACATAAAACTCCTAATTGAGTTCTTTCCCTAAGGTTATCTATCTTAAGCTGCCTAGAGAGCTTCAATTCATTACACAAATTAATATCTTCTTGAGTGCAAGCTCCTATAAGCTTACCATAGGTATAAGTGCCATACGGAATAACACCTTGCGAATTTCTTAGAGTCTTTTTAACTCTTTCAGCAAATAATGAGGGCAATCCATCTATAAACTTAGCTTTCCAATGCTCAAGACCGTTTTTCGATAGTTCCATCACCCGACTTAAATAAGTATCTTTATACTATCGGAATTCTCCTAAATGTCTACATCGAAGATCATTTAGCAAAGATCGGACAGTTTCATATTGATTGGTAAATCTACCATTAAAATGTTCGAGAATAGTCAAGACCAAGGTATAAACAGCGTCTTCTCTATTTTTTACTAATGCAAAACCTAAGTTATTAACACCTTCATTAGCAGCCTTAGCATTAATTACAGCGGTTTTCGCCTCAAGGCTCATATAATTATCCCACCAACCTCTAAGTTGACCAGTAAAACCTGCAATTATCATCTTGCAAATAGTTTTATCGGTGTTATTAGCACTCTTACAAATAGTAGCATGCATAAGCATTCTATGAACAAGAATAGTTAATTGCATATCAGTTAAATCATCGAGATTCCATTCATATATCTCAGTTCCACTATAAGGAGTATTAGTCTGGTTCCAATCACGTTCCTCTATCAAAACATCTTAATTTCCAAATCAACTTGATTTTTAAAATCAAAAGTGGTTTCCATCTCATCTGCAAAATCTTCAGATAAATTAATAGGTTGAGCACCAAATTCTGAAAACTTTTTATCAAGAAATTTTTCAAGATCATATAGGGGTTTAAAAATAAAATCCTGAATTTCAGAAGGTCTCTAAATATGAACATCCGGCTGTTTTGACATAGAAGCCTGTTCAGAAGATTTTAAATCACTTCTAATCTGAACAATTAAAGTCGTTAAATCATCTAATTTTTTATCAAGAGAACTAATATGTTTGCCTAAAACTTTCACATAAAGTCCTAAATAGTTGTTTTGAGAAATGAGATTATTAATCTCGTTAATGCTTACCGTAGCCACATCATTTTCAATGAACTTCTGAAAAGCAATGAAAGTAATACATGTATTATTAGGTAGTATAAACGATGCCTGAGGAGGATAAATAGCTTTGATAATATTACCTGATTCATCTTTAGAGGATCGTTCAAGAACATTGATGAATAAAGGCAAATAAGTGGTTATAAACCAGGGTACGAAAAACATTATATGATTATGTAAAGCACAAGTCTCATAAAATTCTTGAGAAATATTATGCAAATCTTCCGTACTGTATGTATCAAAAAACCAAGTTTTAAACTGACTCCATTTATCACTTGCAAATTCATTTTGAATATATTTTCTTGCCAGCGAACCTGGACTAAAATCAATTTGATGTTCACTCATCATTAAGTATCATTAAGATTAAAATCCATTTCGAATGCAGAAGGAATATCCTTATCAAAAATATCAAAAGATTTATCATTCACTCGAACTATGTTTAATTTAGGATCAATTTTGATTTTACCCTTATTTGCAGTTATAACAGATGATAAGGTATTCAAAGAAGCCGCACGATTACGAGCAGGACCATATATAGGTTCAATAGGATAGATATGTTGAATAGCAAGTCTTTTATCAAAAAATGAATGTCTATTATAAGGGACACTCTTTTCATCAAATTGAATGCAAATTTTTCCATCTGAATTTTGCGTAATATGAGAATATTCCGAATTAGTGACTGCATCAGTCATTTGTTCAGGAGGTATAACAAAATCCAAAGTCCAAGTAGTAGGAAAATTAATTTCTTCCCATTTTATAGGTCTTCTAGTAGTGATCTTAGATTTAGCGAAATTAGTTTCCACCAAAATAGTTTGATCAGATGTATCATATAACTTAAATCTTGGATTTAAAGTAGCAAGTAATTTAAAATAGATCCTATAAGATAAACAAATCAATTTAGATCCAGGTGCATAATTATAAACCTTTAAATAAACATTTAAAGTAGTAACAACAACAATAATAATAATAATAATAATACAAACATGCAGCTTATTTGAGGCCCTCCCACAGAAAGCCCAAACACGTGACAAATTGCGTAAAGCCGATTGAATATCCCCAATCATAAATACCGATATACACCATCATACATACAAATTCGATCATCACTACACTCTTCATACGTACGATCAATTTCCGGAATTCTCATCAGTTTCCTCTACACCATTTTCCTCACTTTTATCACTGTAAGTTACATTCTGCTAATCTGATTGTTGTTGTATAATGCAGTTCATATACACTGCATTTCTTAATCTGAGTACTTGCTTTAAGAAAAATTACTGGGAATTTATAGGATCTGTAGTAAAATTGTGATAGTTATTGTTGTTGATTGCAATTTACGTATATTGTGAGTTTCCTAATCTGTCGTGATTGATGTGGTAAAGTGAGGTATTATGTAATATTGTGTTAAGATGACCTACAGAGTTTTAGGGTTTCGTGAAATTCTGATTGTTATAGATGTGGATTGTGATAGAGTATTTAGGGTTTCGTGAAATTGAGATTGTTATAATTGTTGATTGTCTAATACTTTTACCAACAGTTTATCTTAATATGAGCTCAATACCGACAGACCGTCGACTTCTAGTTTTCATTGAGGTGAATTCTGATTGTTGATTGTGCTGTAATCTCTGCTGCACTTTTACATACAAAGGAATGGATTGTACATTTGATGTAAATCTCTGCTGCATTTTTACATGGATTGTACATTTGCTGAGTAAGGAATGGATATACACATTTACTAACAGTTTATCTTAGTAAGTGCTCAATGGTGACCGACTGTCAGCTTGTGAAATTCTGACTGTTGATTGCGGTGTAATCTGTCGGCTGCACTTTTACCTACAAAGAGATTAATAGCCAATGATTATAACTAAAAGCAAATTCACAATCCAAAATTCTGTACATAAAGAGGAGATACGGACATAAATGATCATTTTAAAGATTGAGATGACTCTTTCCTTCATTTTCCAGCAGTAGACATTAGGCAGAGAGAGCATAGAGGCACCCTCATATAAACAGAGTTCAGAAAAGTAGAGAACGTAATGCCCTTTATTTACGGGTCATATACTCCAATTTCAACTACTAATATCAAGCTCCTTAGATCCCCATCACAAGTAATAAAACCTAGAACCGATAAGCAGTACAAGTAATCTCTATTAATAGATCAACAAAATGGATAAGCACTAAAGTAATACTTCAAGCATTTCAGTGTGACAGAATTCATAACATTACACCCAGACATAATAATAGCAAAAGGTGGTTCAAGTCACTTAGTTAGGACAAAGCAAACAGCGCAAAAGCAAGCTAAAAAAAAAAAAGGAATACCTCCAAAGTCTGTCCTGTCCACCTTAAGGAGAAAGGTATCTTTATTTCTTTCAGATCTTTGTTTGACATGTTCCTACAGATGCCATGACACTGTATATTGCAGATGCCTAGGCCTAAGAGGGGATTTAATCAGAATGGGAAGAATAATAAGAGTGTCAAAAATAAGCCAGCAGAAGTGACACCAGAACCAAAAGATGAATGGCTATGTAACCTGTGCAACAAGATGATAAGTGCCAAGATAACAACAGTAAATGTACACAGAGATGCATGCAGAAAAATCAAGGTGAGCATTCAGTGTATATTGATGCATTAAAGTATCTGAATGATTAGTGTACTAATGAATTCAAATTTTGAATCAGGATGCCCAAGATAGGGCGGCAGCAAATGCAAGGGCAAATGCAAGAGGGGGACTTCACTAAGGGGGAAGCTGCTAAGGATTTGTTTGCATGAAATATCAAAATCCGTATGTGAAAATGTATGATATTTTGAAATATAAATCTTTGTATGTGATAATTGGCTTTGCCAAAAGGGGATTTACAATGATTTGAGACTCAAGGTTCATTGTGTCTGTTTGATACAGGACATAAATGTTTTGAGATATTTTGTTTGTATGTTTCAGAAATTTTGATAAAGGAGTTGACAGATTGTTAAGACTAATACCTTTAATGTAACAGATTGTTAAGTGTGAAGCATTTACTTGGTCTGTATTTTGGTATGTGATATTGGGCTTTGCCATAAGGGGATTTACAGAGATTTGAGACTCAAGTTCCATTGAGACTCAAGGTACTTTGTATCTGTTTGATCCAACACATAGATTTGATATTTGGCTTTGCCATAAGGGGATTTACAGAGATTTGAGACTCAAGGTACTTTGTATCTGTTTCATCCAGGATATAGATCCTTGAATGTTTGAGATATCTTGCTTGTATTTTTGAGATATAGAAAAATTGACAGATTGTTTAGTGTGATACCTTCACTTAGCTAATTATTCATTGACAGATTTTTAAATGTGATACATTTACTTACAGTGACAGATTGTTTAGTGTAATACCTTCAGATTGATTAATGTGATACCTTTACTGATATTTTGAAGACAGATTGTTTACTTGTTTTCTGTACACATTTACTTAGACGTTTGTTCACTTAGAAGTTTGCTGTTAGAGTTCAGTTAGACGTTTACTCCATAAGTTCACTTAGCCGCTTACTGTTAGAGTTCAGTTAGACACTTACTCCATAAGTTCACTTAGACGCTTACTCCATAAGTTTACTTAGAAGTTTGCAGACTTAGAGTTCACTTAGAAGTTCTGACTTAGACATTTGCTGCATCGGCTCACTTAGACGCTTGCTGTTAGAATTCACTTGGACGCTTGCTGTTAGAATTCACTTACACGCTTACTGTAAGAGTTCACTTAGACGCCTACTGTTAGAGTTCACTTAGACGCTTACTGTTAAGAGTTCACTTAGACGCTTACTGTTAGAGTTCACTTAGACGCTTACTGTTAGAGTTCACTTAGACACTTACTCCATAAGTTTACTTAGACGCTGACTTAAGAGTTTACTTAGAAGTTTGCTGACTAAAGAGTTCACTTAGAAGTTTGCTGACTTAGACGTTTATTGTAAGTATGCTGACTTAGACATTTATTGTAAGAGTGCACTAAGAAGTTTACTGACTTGGACGTTTGCTGCATAGGCTCACTTAGATGTTTGCTGCATCGGCTCACTTAGAAGCATAGGCTCACTTAGACACTTACTTTTATAGTTCACTTAGACGCTAGCTGTTAGAGTCACTTAGAAGCTTACTCCATAAGTTCACTCAGACACTTACTGTTAGAGTTCAGTTAGACGCTTACTCCATAAGTTCACTTGGAAGTTTTCTGACTTAGAGTTTAATTAGAAGTTTGCTGACTTAGAGTTTAATTAGAAGTTTGCTGACATAGAGTTTACTTGGAAGTTTGCTGACTTAGAGTTCACTTAGAAGTTTGCTAACTTAGACGTTTATTGTAAGAGTGCACTAACTAGTTCACTGACTTAGACGTTTGCTGCATAGGCTCACTTAGACGCTTGCTGCATAGGCTCGCTTAGACGCTTGCTGCATAGGCTCGCTTAGACGTTTGCTGCATCGGCTCACTTAGACGCATAGGCTCACTTAACGCTTAGGCTCACTTAGACGCTTGCTGTTAGAGTTCACTTAGACGCTTACTCCGTAAGTTTACTTCATAAGTTCACTTAGACGCTTTCTGTTAGAGTTCACTTAGACGCTTACTCCGTAAGTTTACTAAGACGCTTACTCCGTAAGTTCACTTAGACGCTTACTCCATAAGTTCACTTAGACGCTTAATCCATAAGTTCACTTAGACGCTTAATCCATAAGTTCACTTAGGCGCTTGATCCATAAGTTCACTTAGACGCTTAATCCATAAGTTCACTTAGACGCTTAATCCATAAGTTCACTTAGACGCTTGATCCATTAAGTTCACTTAGACGCTTTAATCCATAAGTTCACTTAGACGCTTAATCCATAAGTTCACTTAGACGCTTAATCCATAAGTTCACTTAGACGCTTACTCCATAAGTTCACTTAGACGCTTAATCCATAAGTTCACTTAGACGTTTACATATACTTAGACATTTAATGTATACATTTACTTATAATAATGTTTACTGATCAAGACTTATATTGACAGAATGTTTACTGTATACGTCTACAGATTGTGTGCTGTATACAAACACCTAAATGTTTAAATAGATGATTTATACATGATATGTTTCCTTAAATGTTTAAATAGATGATTCAAACGTGATATGTTTACTTAGTGATTTACTGTGATGATTTAATGTAATAATTTGATGATTATCGGACTTAATAATTTGATGATTCTACTGTGTGACTTAAGTACTAACTACTAAGGACTTAATAGTTTGATGATTCTATCATGTGACTTAAGTACTAAGGACTTAATAATTTGATGATTCTACTGTGTGACTTAAGTAGTTTATGTGAGTTCATAATGTGACCAATAAATAATTAAACTTAGATTTATATATAAATTTACTTCTAAAAACTAATAAACAAAAACAGTTTATAAACATTGTTTTGAAAATCACAATTCATTAATTACCTAATAACCTAATAATGTATATAAATTAAATCTTATCAAGTTCAATAAATAAAATATTTTTTAAAAGGGACATCGAGTTAGTTATTGAGAGTAAAAGCATATTGTTAGGATTAAAAACACAAAAATTGATAATCAAGAATGAAATCCAAGAATAAGGTAGTAATGAATCACAACAAAAATAACTTGATTTATCAAAAAAAAGCCAAAATTTTTGATAAACAAGGAGATCCTGGACAAATAAGAAGGAGATCTAAGAATGAACAATCGATACAAAAACAACTAGATCCAATAATGAACACTTAGAATTTATAAGTCGACAGAAAAATAATAACTTGATTTATGATTAAAAACAAAAAAAAAAATCAATAAACAAGAAAGGAGATCAAAGAACTAACGTTTAGAATTAATAAATCGAAAGAAAAATAACATGATTAATGATAAAAACAAAGAATAAACATGTTTAAACCACAAAAAAGAATGGAAATTGTAGATTGACAATTGACATACCGTGTATTCTTCTTGATTATTCTTGAAAAACAAAATTTTGATATTCTTCGATCAAGATCTATTTTTTTTTCTTCATTATTCTTGAAAAACAAAGAAATCAAAATAATCTTGATGTTCTTCGATCTAGATCTATTTTCTTCTTGATTATTCTTAGAAAAAAACAAAGAAATCAAAATGATTTTGATGTTCTTCGATCTAGATCTATTTTTTTGATTGGGAGAAAAAAGAAAAATATTTTTTTGTGAGAGAGAAAAAAGAGCAAGATGAAGAGATTAGGTTACAAAGTACAAGAAGTAGTCTGCGGCTTGGATTGTACTTCTGTTCTCAACTTATAACTTATAATAATATTTATTTGCAGTCCTTTTCGTTATCTAACAAATTAACTTGAGCCCCTCCTCGAAAAAAAAAACTATTTCATCCCTGATACTATTAATCAATTAATTTACCGAAGACCCTTCATTTTCCTTCTCTCATATCTCTTCTGTTTTATTAAAAAAAAAATGCCTTTTAAATTGGAATAAATTTCAATCACATTTATTTCCTATTAATTGAGTTTTACTAATTAATCATTATAATTTCAAATCGGTTACAAACCTTTTTACCTTCCATTCTTCTTTATATTTTCATAAAATTCTCATAATTTTGTTGCTTCTCATTTTTACAAGAAACTCATTTACAAGCTTATTCTTTTTAATTTTACACTTTTTCTTTTGAGTTGCAGAAGCTTGGATTTTCTTGTGACGGAGGAAAATGATGTGCTAATTTTTTCGAGGAAGCCATGATTTAAAGGTGTATTTGTAACTTCTTTTTAATTTGTTATCATATTGTTTATGCTCTCTTACGATTTCTTGTTTCTTTTTGGGTCTATCTGAGTTTGTAGTGCGAAATTTAAATTGAAATTATTATAACAAAAAAATTAACCTCCATTGAAGTACTTTAAGCTTTGAGAAATAATGGGAGAGATAATGGGAGAGATAATGGCAATAAAATTGGAAAGAAGAAGAGAAAAAATAAAATAAAATAGACTAAATAAGTCCCTCACGCGTCAATAGCGAGTGTATAACACTCACTTTGCCATGTCAGCTGAAAGTGTCAAAATGACATAACAGAGCCTGACATGAGGTGTCTAAAATGAACAAAGCCTAGTTAAGGTGTCTAAGTGAAAGATCGTGCCAAGTTTAGGGGGCCACCGATGGATTAGCCCAATAATTAAGTAGGTGCAATTAGTCTAGGGCCTAGGTGATCTTCTTGGAGGATATTGTTGCTCACAATGGAAAGAGAAGTGTGTTGTTTGTAGAGGAATAATGATATAGCATACCGTCCTCATATATGTGAGTATGATTCAACATGTGCAATATTTTTTTTATGTTTCCATAATGTAAACCACAAGGTTCTTATTTTTCTTTTTGTACAGGTGATCAGGGATGTTGCGATTGTGGAGAAAAGGGATCTTTGAGCAAAGTCCAACACTAAATTATATTATTATTTAAGTCTTTGTAAGATTTTATTTTAATTTTTGAAATTTCAGTTCTTATTCTTTTGGAGTTGTTCCCCAATTTAATTAGATGAATAAGTTTATTATTTCTATCTCTAAAGCTATATATAATAATTAAAGTTAGGCATAGACAATGAGATGTGCACTTTTCTATGGCCAATAAATCGATTTATCTTTTTTCTTCTTTATTTGATTTTTTTCCTTTTCATATTTTAATTTATTGTTGCAATTTAAAAAAAAAAAAAAGGCAATGTAAAAGTATGAAGGCAATGAAGAGGTGTAAAGGAAAAGAACATAAGGAAAATAAACATTCACATTTGTCAATTTGTTAATCAATAGTCACAATTCACAATATTAAATACTTCATTTTATCTTTTCTATAATTGATTCTCAATTTTTAAGAACTTAAATTAATTTGATATTACTTCTAATTTAATAAATTAGCCTACTATGTTGTTATGAGTTTATCAATTTTTTGGCTAACCTTTTCATATTACATTAATGAAGTGACACACTCTTTCATATTGTGTTTTAACGAAGGATAAATAAATTTCTACATACTCCATCATTCACCATATTTTTTTTTATTCAAATACTAAAACAGAGTGAACTTGCATTATGTTTGCAATCATGGCTATCATTACTACTCATAGCAAGGCAAACTTAGAAGGGTTGGACATGTGCTTAATTTGTTTGGGTTAATATAGTTAGAGGGTCGGACATGGGTTAAGATAGTTAGAGGATCGGACATGAGTTAAAATTGGGTGATATGTCATTTTTAAAGAAAAACAGGTAATTTTACTTGATTTGGAGTTTTTCATGCAATTAAAGGATACGAATAATAAATTTGTAGATGACGGAGTTATGGATGGTTGCATAGTATAACATAGGATAAAGTTAACTATTAAACAAAAGTTGATAAGTATTTTTTACCCTTCTCCCTACAATTAAACCAAAAGATAATGATAAGATTGGAAAATATAATATAGTAGAATATATAATTAATCGGAAAGAAAATTAATTCTAACACATATATTTTAATGCGCGCACGAAGCGCGGCTACGTTCCCTAGTTAAGGATCATTTTCCTTTTTAAGTGCAGAATTCTTAACTTAATTATTCTCTTAATATTTTAAAATAAACTATAAATTATTATATTAGAAATAAAATATTAATTATTTCCTTAAAATCGGAAATCCCTTTTGTACATGTTTAGGAGACTTTATTCCCCTACTTCCTATTCAATTATGACTCTAAGCTTTTTAATTCTATTACAAAATTACATTGGCATAAAAGGAAAAGAAAACCTAGAATTTTAGTACCTTATATACAAAAAAGAGTTTAATTGATATTTTGATTAAACAGACTATCAAAATATCAAAGAAGGTGCTTTTTTAAGTTCACTCAAACTCCTAAAAATTCAAAGGTTTAGCTCTTTCCTTTTTAAACTATTTTTTACGGTAATGATCGTTCTCTTTTTTATTGCTTCAAGTTTTACTCTTTTTAAAGATATTCGATCAGTTTTGTGCCTTTTTTAAGGTTAATTCAATGATTGAAAGTTGAAACAATAAATTGTAACTTTTTTGTTGATAAAATATAAAAGATTAGTTCTTTATAAAAATATATCAAGATATATTGGGTTAAAAACACTTTGAGCTCCATTCGGTTTTGGAGTCTTTATTTTTAATTTTTTTAATTTGAACTGCACACAATTAGTCTTACATGAAGTCTACTTATATTTTGAAAAAATAATAATAACGGAGCCCTGAAAAGTATAGTAAGAAGAAAATATATGATAAGAAATGTTACCAGAATTAATAATAAACAAGTCCTCGATTTTTTTAGAGATAAGGGTCTGAAAAATATTCCAATTTTGGTCGGATTTGTTGTTGTGATACTAAACTTTCATAAGGAGTTATTACCTCCCTAGACTATTTAATACTGTATATTTTACCCCCTAAACTATTTAATAGTGTATTTTAAAGGTATATATGTTCTCACGTGGACACATTACTATTTTATAATTTTGTATTATTTTTTATGTCCACGTGGGCAAATATATATGTTTAAAATACGGTATTAAATAATCTAGGGAGGTAATAGGTCCTCATGAAAGTTTAGTATCGCAACAACAAATCTGACCAAAGTTGGAGTATTTTTCAGACCCTTATCCCTTTTATAAGAAGAAAGACAAAAATATGTGGTAAAAAAGAACTAGAAAAATATATGATTAAAAATTCTTAAAATATATGGTAAAAAGTATAGGAGAATTAACAATTAAGGAATTAAGAAGTGTTCTAAAATATATGGTAAAAGGAAGAGGAAAAAGTTGATAACATGTATTAGAAAATTGAATAATTAAGACTTACAAGTGGCAGCCTAATAATTATCCACTTACAAGTTTATAATTAGAGACTAATTAGTAAGTAATTATTTATTAGTTACTGTTTTGAATTATAGTAATAATTATTTGTTTTATCACTATCCACATCCTACAAATTTGCAAGTTTGGTTTCAAAGTAAATTCTTTTTTAATTTACTTGAAAGTAAATTATATGATTTTATAATATTTAAAATATAGCATTTTGTGATTTTAATTATTTATGTTATTGATTCCGACAGGAAAAAAAATGAAAATTATGCAAATCTTAAAGATTTTTTTTCATGGCTCCTTTTATATATATATATATATATATATAAATACGTTTAAATAAATAAAACTAAGTTTATGTAGGATTTAGATTTAAACAAATAGGATAGCTTCTGTCAGATGATGTGAGCTGCGGTTGTAAAAATTTTGTTGTAAAATCCTACTCAGTACTCCATCTTCCTGTTCCGTTATCTAGTTTAGTAGCATTTTGTTGCTAAATCCAGGTATATATATATATATATATATTACTATATATAATAAGTAGGAATATCTACTACTTAGCATATGACAAGTGTTGGATGATATGTGTTTGATAGTGTTGTACATTCTTCTTTTATGGTTGTACTTTTAAAATTTATATTATTGGACAATTTAACACCATTAATTACCTACTACTTTATTAGCCAAAAAGTTTGACCTCATTTGGGCCCATTTATTATTTATATG